CTGCACCCTCAGAAATAACTATATGGAAATAAGCTGGGCGTGTGTAGTATGCCTTGTCCTTCTGCCCCACTGACGCTCCTTGTCTCTCCCCCTCCTGCCAGTAATTCACGACCATTAGGCCTCATTCACACACAACGCAAGAGCAAAATTGTATATTGCGTATATGGGTGTATGTACGTGCTTATATGCGCGTATTTATACGCGTGTATATGCGTGCACTATATGCATCCGCTTTATAATGTACTATATTGCACACCACACTTTTTTTTTTTTTTTACTTCCACCGCTCCAAGCTTGCTCCCTTGATGGACTACAATCTCAATACAAGCTAGTAGTCCATCACTGGAGACTTTTTTTTTTAAATCCGATTAATCGAACTTAATAATCGGCTAACTAATCGATTATGAAAATAATCGTTAGCTGCAGCTCTATTGCCAACATAATATGCAGTATTACAGAATATGGTCTTGGATCATTCCTTTTATCACCCAACCTTCCTGCCATAATGATACACAATAAGGGCATGTTTAATATTGAAAGCCAGGTTACCAACCAGTGTGCATTTGAATTGTAGAAGGGCAGAGAACCTGGGGGATAAAAACACCTAAAATAGGCAGATCATACGGGATAGGACCCTACGGCCCAGAGCTGTAAGGGACAATTATTTTGTGGTGAATCGGGTCCGCTGTGTATTATGTTCTTGCCACGTGATGTTTTTTCTCTCTGATAGCTGACGTATCTGATTTCATACAACATTGCTTTCTTTTCCGTTTTCAGTTTGCTACAGTATACAAAGCAAGAGATAAGAACACTGATAAGATTGTTGCCATAAAAAAGGTTGGTGTGCTTTTATTCTTCCAGTATACAGTAATATTCTCTGCCAATGCTAAATCATCTGTAAGATTCTATCTGATACAATATGGCGTTAATCCCACAAGGTTTGTGTGTCACTAATAAAGATTGGTATTATTGGAACATTATTTGCTGGCCATGGCTGTACCTGAGTTGAGGTCATGTCTTTCAAGCAAACGTCTTGAGAAGCATGGAGGCTTCTATCGCTAACCTCTACTTCTGGCCATCTTCAGCACTTTGACTCACTGACCAACAGCAAGTATTGAGGTGAAGAATTCTCACGTTTCTGGTCAGTGAGTCAGAAAGTACTGAAGCCAGTGTGTCAGTATGGCAGGCAGGTAAAACATTGTTAAACGGTTGTCAGTAGTGGCGGCCGCCCATATTTCTGTCACAACATGTTCACTTTAAAGTCCTCCAGCAAACGCTGCAGCTTGTCCATGAAATAAAATTTCTCGTTACCCATAGCAACAATCTGCTTCTATTTTTTGATTAAAAATTATACTGATTGGTTGTTACAGGGACTTACGCAATTTCTTGTTGGCACACTTTTCACACATTATACCCTCAGTTCAATGATTACATTATGTAAACTCCATGCAGTTCAGAAACAATGGGGTTGATTTACTAAAGGCAAATCGGCTGTTCACATTGTAAGGGAAGTTTCCCCTAAAGCTGGCCATACACTGTAATATTGTTTTCCTTTTAGCCAGAAGCCAGAAGGAAAAAATATCAGATTCCTCCATCCATGCTGCTTGGTAAATACCCCGCTGTTTCCATTGTTTTCTGACAGCGGCCGCTGTAAGACTACCCAAATGGTGCCTCCAGCAGATTGGCTTCAAGCACCCTTTGGCAAAAGATTTTTCAACCGGCTTCTTCAATCTTCTGCTCGAGGGACGCCGGGTGGAAAGGTGGTGACAGTGTATGGGGTGTCGCGTAGTATATGGCCAGCTTTAGTTTAGTGAATGAGGTGGAACTCTGAGTTTTATCATTTAGTCATGTACCAGTAAAAATACTTTTTTTTATTGTCTTTATTTCCCTTGCACATTATTGGGTATTCTATGCAAAGTGAAATTTCACTACACATGAAAAGCTAAGAGAAACTTCCTGTGCAAAGTGCAATTTCCCCGGCAAAGTGAACAGCCAGTTTGCCTTTATTAAATCAAACCCCAATGTCTATAACCTAATGTGTAAAAAGAGCCAACTGTTGTCTTGACTTCCCTATTTGCTTTTTATTTGACGTTTTCAGAAAATCAGACCCCTTTCCACTGCTGCCTTGTCACAAAAGCTAATAGAGATTAGGAAACATTTAGTCTTGTTTCAGGAAGTGCTGATTTTGGCCCTGAGGGTGCCAGGTCACATGACCTCTAGTTTTGGGGTAGCATCGACCAATCTAAACACTGATCTTCCTTTTCAGGAAATAAGTCAAATAAAGCATTTGATTATGTTACTGGACACCATAGCCAGAGTGTGTCATGTAAGGACTTTTGTTTGCTTTTATGTGTGTCGGGGATCAGGGTGGGCGCGACAGAGGGGTGTCTTATGACAATACGTTTGGTTTAAAGCACACCTGACGGTTGATTAAATTTGTGAAGCACATCTGGGATTTTTGAAAGATCAGTTTACTTTTTCTACTGAGCGCCCTTTGGAGTTAGGTTCCAGGCACTCTGGTACAGGGACGCGCGGTAGGGTCTCTGCTAGGTGAGGCATTTCCTCTGCCCACCCCCAACCCGGTCATCGAAGTATTTGTGGAGGGGGGAGAAGAGGAGGAACCTCCCTGTCCCTCTCATGCTCGTCACTGCTGAGGCATCGAGATACATGTCCTCAGTGTTTGAGGGTTTTTTTTATTATTTTTTTTTTGATTTGGACAGCTTGGACCAATTGGCCAGTAAGGCACCCCTTCACTGTGATAATGGGACACAGTGGGGCCAAGATCTCAAGCACACAGGTTTCATTGGGGGTTTAGAAGAACTTAACTGCAGCGTAAAGGATGTCCAAGAACAATAAAATGAATATATTTCAGGGTATCGGTCCATAGATGTGGTGGCTGTATTTCTGACAAGAGCAGCAGGTTTCTGTCTGCATTTGTTGTATATGTTCTAAGTCTGAAAAAGAAATGTCCTTGTAACTTTCTGGTTGCTGAACTGAAAGCACAAACAATGTAATCTTCCAATCGCAAACTTCAAATCCCACCTCATCCCCTTGTAATGGAAATGAAGAGAAGAAGAAATGCTAAAAGTCCAACCTGGGCAACAACTATGGCTCCTTCTGTAGATACAGTGCAGTGAATAAGTGTAGCCACCCAGGGACAGGAAGTGTGTTATTCCAGGGTCACCAGGATAAAATAAAGGAACAAAGAAAACGAATGCCTGGTTTCCTGATTGCCCCGGAAGCCGGCTCCACGCTCCCTCATCACTTGTCACGAGGGAGCATGGAGCCGGCTTCCCGGGCAATCAGAAAGCGGGGCAGCATGTAATGACTCGCTGCCCGGCTTCCTGATTGTCGGGAAGCCAGCTTCATGCTCCCTCGTCACCTTGTGACGAGGGAGCATGGAGCCGGCTTCATGGCCAATCGGGGAGCCGGGCGGCACATCATTAGATGGCGCCCGGCTTCCTGATTGGCCAGAAAGCCGGCTCCATGCTTCTCGTCATCTAGTGATGAGAAGCATGGCGATGGCTTCCCTGCTAATCGGGAAGCCGGGTGGCGAGTATTTACATGCTGCCCGGCTTCCCTCCCGGGTAATCAGGAAGCCAGGTGGCGAGTCATTACATGCCGCCTGGCTTGCTTTAATGGGATTTTCAGTATTGACAAGTATCGGGAAAAAAAATATTGGCACTTGTATCGGTGCATTCCTAATTTGTGCTACCCTTACAAAGCAGGGTTAGGTGTTTCACTAGAGAAGCCTTTCTTAACCAGGGTGCCGTGGCCTCCTTAGGGCTGCCTCAAAATTTTGTGGGGACTGTGATGTGAAGGGGGTTTCTGATGTAAAAGGGGAACTCTAATATAAAAGTGGGGCTTCTGGAAAGTGACTACTGATGCAAAGGGTGACTCTAATTTGAAGGGGGCACTTTGATGTGAACGGGAAAACTTACTTTTTTGTGTATTATGCATTGGGGTCCACCTTAAAATCTATGACATTTTAGATTGGGGTGCCTCGAGATTTTGCCTACTTTTAAAGGGTGCCATGATATGAAGAAAAAGGTTGAGAAACGCTGCATTAGAGTGCGTACTATTCTACTAGGCAAAAATATTTTTTGGCTGGAATACTTGCCATTACCAACATTTTCAGTATGTCATTTATGGAATAAACTAGTGTTACAAAAGATGTAAATAATTATTTTTCTTCTCTCCTGAAGATTAAGTTGGGTCACAGAGCTGAAGCCAATGATGGTAAGTGGATAATTCAATGTGGTCTAGATGTGAATTTCCAGGACCTGTCCTTAGTTCCGCCATGTCCATGTTCCATGTCATTTATAGATATCCCATACAGCTATATAGCATTGCTTGGGCGCTAATTATGACAGAGAAAAAGTTGCCGGGGCTTTTTTTTTTGCCCCATGTTCATTAAAATGAAGAGCAGAGCTCTGTCCCATAATAGTGTATTTGCTAAAACTAGTTGGTTTCTGTGTAACAAGGATATTTTAACCTTTTCTCTGCCTCCGATGCACGTCTTACGGTGGAACAAAAAAGTTTCCAGCTCAGTATGCCTTTTGTCAGCTGCATTCACCTTTCTGCTATATGTTCACGGTCACTTCAGTGACCATAAGCTTATAGCAGAAGGTTCCCCCTGTCTGTTCTGTGGAAATTAATAGCTTTCATCAGTGGCTGATGACAACTATCCATTGTAAATAAGCATGTTCCGGCCTTTGTACCCTCCAATCTCCATTGCTCTCCCCTGCCTGTGACAGTGGGGACACAGAGCTGATCCACCATGCCGGCGCCCGGGGGAGGGGTGTCATTGACATGTGGGCAGAGCACTTCAGGTTTCTGAGCGGAGGATCGGCAAATATGTGAAATATTTGTTGATCCTTTCCCTTTCATGCAGCAAACATCAAAGTGATCAGTACAGATCACTCTGGTGTTTATTCATAACTGGGGAGATAGTGTTTATTATTTCCCCAGTTATGAATGAACAGGAAGCACAACACATCACTTCCTGTCTCCTCAGTTTTGTGAATGAGCAGGAAGCCTCTGTACTGAGTGCTTCTTGTTCATTGAGTGCTGGGGCTGCTAAAACTCTGTCCTCAATCTCTTTCTATTTTGAAAGGGAAATATCAGGGGTCTGGTTTCCCCAAAGCCCCATGATGGTAATTATAATAAATAAAATAAAATAATAAAAATGAAAAGATAATAATAAAAAAAAAGTTAAAACCACACACACACAATACAAGTGCAACAGTGAGCACCTTAATCTGATGTACGTTATGCACATGCGCTGAGGTGCATTGTTAGAACACATCACACAATGCTTGACTTTTTACAATAATTTAATTCAACTGTGTGGGAGTGCATGGCAAAACGCTACGAGACATCGACACATTGCTGTGCATTGTAATACGCTGCGTTGTGATTAAATGTATCCCTGCAGACGTTACCACAACACATTGATTAGAACAACCTGCATATAACATTCTTCATTCTTTCAATAAAGAAGTGCAACTCTAAAATATAAAAACGATATACTGTAATGCCATCGCACATATTACATATCGGACGTCCATTCAGGATAGAACTGGAAGTCCCAAGAGATTAGTTCTGATTGGATCTCTTTCCAAATCGTCTCTCCCTAACATTTTGGTCTAGTGTTAGTCTAAAATGTCAATATCTTTTTATTATAGTTTCAGTCACTGGAAAGTGTTGCTGACGGAAATTATTAGTCGACGAAAATACCACTGGCAAAAAATGTTGTGGCCAGCTAAGGTTAAAAGTGGAGCTCGGGGCCTGGCAGCGAAAGGGTTAATAGTAGGTGAATTTTTACAAGATAAACCAAAACTCTTGCATTGCAGAGCACATAACTCTCTCTTTTTGTATTTTTACATTCTGTCAGCTTTTGGTGGAAAAGGAGGATTTTAGGATTGTCCGGCAAGTAGACCTATAACCACTAGATGGTGTCCCTTTGCTGTCTGCAGTGCAGGAAACAAATTGCAACTTAAACTTTTTTTCCCCCCCATGTCCATGTTGTCATATTACAAGTCACTGATACTAGTTGTGTTTAATGCTGTTGTGCAGTCTTCGGCTTTGTCATTTTGCTCGTCACTGGTGGACAAGGATTGGAGTAAGCTCCAATTTAGAGATTAAGGTGTTTTCGCGTAAAAATGGTTGTTTTTTTTTTCTGCTCGTTTATGTACGGTTTTGCATGAACCGTAGCATGAAGCAGATTGTTATTCACTGAAGTCCATGGACAATATGCACACTTAAAAATGTGCAAAACTAATTGCAATGCGTGTTTTCAAACGTTTCCTATTGACTGTATGGGTCCAAAACGAGTTGAGATCTGCCAAAAAGAAGCTTGTGTACTTTTTCCGGTGACAGGTGCATCCCTAATGTAGGCATCCCAACCTGAAGGAACCTCCCTGAAATGATGGCAGATAGCGGAGAAGCTAATGCTTCCCTTCCTATCTGCTGTTATTTTTTTGTATTCTGACAGCTCCTGTCATCAGAGTAAAAAAAAAAGACAGCATGGAAATGAATAGCTAGATTGCTATTGGCTATTTCAATTTGCAATAGCCAATAGCAGGCTGGCTATCGCTCTCACCCGCTGCTGCTGTCAATCAGCAGAGGAGGACCTGATGGAGAACTTCAGGTCCACCAAAACAAAAAAAAAAAGACGGCACGGAAAGGTTTACTCTGCTAGATAGAGCAGGGGAAGCACCAACACCTTTTTTTTTTTTCTTCAAGTTCTGAAACATTTTTGTTTTATTGTCATGTGACAGTTTTTGTAAAACAATATTGATTTCAGGACCGTGGTGGAGCACCAGAGCCGGGTCCCAGCTGCAACCCTGGTAGTTCTCATGAAAATGCCAAGTATTGGCACTGGTGACTGGACATCCCAACTTTCCAGGATAAAATGTTTCTCTCCCAGAGCATCTGGGAGTCGCTATCTTATAGCAGGAGACTCCCGGAGCGTCCGGGAGAGTTGAGATGTTTGCATTAAATTCGTCTGTCCTTGTCAACACGGAGCAGCATTAAAGTGACATTAAAGGCAAACAAAAATGTTCCCTTGGTTTACTGCCATCCCCAGCTATTACATTGTAGCTCACTCAATTGATTGTGAGACCCAGAAAGTTTTGTTATAGCACGGGCAGCATTATCAGAATGTTAGTGTTTTTCTGCCATGGTTCTCTTTATTAGGGTTCGGTATAGGTCTGTCTGCAGTAAGGTTTGCTATAGAAAAGAAGCACTGTTTGTACTGGCTGTTCTTGTGAATGGTGCTAGGCGATGACGTTGCTCTCAGGAACAGCATCCTGCTTGATTGGTGGACCTTCACCCCTTCTTCTGAGGTTTATATGTTGGGTTCAGGGCATCAGTTAACTTATGGTGGGCTCAGATTTACGCTTAGATTTGGGGTAAGGGTTTACGTTAAAAGCTGGATTCTAAACTAATATTAAGAAAATGCCTTTTTATTCAGTTTTATATTTTCTTTTGCTTCCAATAATTCCTAGCATTGCAGACCCTAGACTGAGAGCAGGAGGGCAAGCATTGCAGACCCTAGACTGGGAGCAGGAGTGCAAGCATTGCAGACCCTAGACTGAGAGCCGGAGGGCAAGCATTGCAGACCCTAGACTGAGAGCAGGAGGGCAAGCATTGCAGACCCTAGACTGAGAGCAGGAGGGCAAGCATTGCAGACCCTAGACTGAGAGCACGAGGGCAAGCATTGCAGACCCTAGACTGAGAGCACGAGGGCAAGCATTGCAGACCCTAGACTGAGAGCACGAGGGCAAGCATTGCAGACCCTAGACTGAGAGCACGAGGGCAAGCATTGCAGACCCTAGACTGAGAGCACGAGGGCAAGCATTGCAGACCCTAGACTGAGAGCACGAGGGCAAGCATTGCAGACCCTAGACTGAGAGCACGAGGGCAAGCATTGCAGACCCTAGACTGAGAGCACGAGGGCAAGCATTGCAGACCCTAGACTGAGAGCAGGAGGGCAAGCATTGCAGACCCTAGACTGAGAGCACGAGGGCAAGCATTGCAGACCCTAGACTGAGAGCACGAGGGCAAGCATTGTCAGTCTAAATAGGGGAACATGCTGACAGGACCACACACAGATGTTCTTATGGATACTTGGCTACTTCTCCTTTGTTGGACAATCAGGTGACACGCTTGTGGTGGTTTTTTATTTATTTTAATTAGCTGTGTGCCATTCTAGAGAAAGTGGTGTCACCCTTCTGGTTATGTTGACTGGCAATGGTTTTGTGAATAGCAAACGTAGCTGAACAAAATCACAAATATTTTAGTAACTAAAACCAATCACATATATGTAGTATACTGGTTGGAGCTCAATTCTAGGGTTAGTGTCATCTCAGGATAATAGTAACTTTTTGGGAGTGATCGCTTACTATTTCCACTTTTCTTTTGGCTGTCCTGTAGTTGTGAAATGTATTGGCGCCAGCGCAGGATGTGAATGTCGCATTTGTGATGGTGTATGCTATGAATATTTGGAATTGCTTTTTTTTGGAAGTGTGATTTGTTTGTGGTGGCCTTTTTATTTTTTTGTTCTCTACTTTTGATAATTGATGTGATAAAAGATGATGGATTTAAAAACAAACCAAATCCTAAATGTTCCAAGCACATCTGTGGTACCACCTGTAGGATTGAGGGTTTAAAAAATATTTTTGAATTAAAGAACTTTTTGTAACTGTGCCTATTGTGTGTTTGTGAATCACTATTTGTTTTGCTAAACAAAATTGGTATATGAAGGGACACTATAATCCTGCCCCAAATCTCCACATGATTGCTTTGTTTTGTTTTATAAAAGTTACTTATGTTTACTTCTGTGTAAAGAAAGCATTTACATGTAAATGATGTGGTCATCACCCAACACACCCCCCCCCAGCTTGTGAGAACTCACTCCTGCTCTGAATGTTCATTGGTTTTCTCTCAACCTTTATGTGGCTACTATGGGGAGGTCTGGGAATGTTCTTTTCAGTGACCTCGGTGTCTGTGAAACCAAGACGCATATACAAACCCGACTTCCTTTTTCTTGTTCTGGTTACTGAAGATGTTTATCTAGTTGACAGCTGTTTCACAGTATTAGGTATTTTATGGTTAAACAAATCCCAGAAGCTGGGTACCCAGAGCACCTAAAATGTACTTCTTGAGTCTGTTTTATTGTGGTGGTGTTTTTTTTTTTTTTTTTTTTTCTGTGTTGCGCTTTACTTACAGCACATCGATATATCTACTCCTTTAGGCATACCTTATGCCCCCTTCACACCAGGGCATCCTGGGAACTCGTTTTCCTGCAACTTTTGTTTCCCACATTTGGTGCACATCTCCATTGATCATGCACTTAAAGTTACATTAAACCCTCAGATTTTTTAACATAAACCAATACTGTAATGTGTGCCTTACTGTAATCCATGGTAGTTTCCCTTCTCTTTGCTGCTCTTCCTTTTAAATCCGTATCTCTTCTCATGCTGGGGGAGAACCTCCCTTTGCAGCTGAGTGCCTCTTACTGTAGTGCTGGCTCAGGTTGTGAACCTGCACACAGACACCATGTATCCATTCCCTACACAAGGCAGCCTGTTGCAAAACAGAAGTTCTGCCCTGCATGAGAACAGATTTAAAAGGAAGAGCAGCAAAGAGAAGGGAAACAACCATGGATTACAGTAAGGCGCACATTACAGTATTGTCGGGATCCGCTGCGGCGTCTCAGTATACCGCAAGCTGTAGCTCGCGGTATACTGAGCTTAGGGTAACGGGAGGACGCTAGTTTGTGTCCTCCCGTTACCCTAAGGAGAACTATGGGGAAAAACACTGACCCCCATAGTACCCCTTTAAAGAGTCTGAGGGTTTAATGTCACTTTAATGTAGAAAAGTAGCACATGTCGCAAATTTGGCGACATGCATTGCACTATTTTTTTTTTCTCCTGCATGTTGTTGCTCATTCTCATGTGCGTGAATGCATGGAGAAAAAATGTGTTTCCTTGGTCACGTTTGGGGTACCATTACCTAGTAAGGGCAACGCAACCGCATTCCGTATTTGTGTATGTATCGTAGTATCCATAAGTCTTGCAGCACTTCTTACCGGTTATACCCAAAGATATATAATGGGTGCTCGTAATGACTGCGTATGGCGCCGCTCACAATGAAGCTTCAATAAGGATGTCGCCAGCACGAGAGCTTCCAAATTAGTGCAAATCCATTGTTAATGATAGAGGTCTCTCAAATGTCAAGCGCTTTCGGGGCCATGCAGGGTCCCCTTCATCAGGCTCAGAGATGACAATGATGACTATGATGGTCATCTCCTGAGCCTGATGAAGGGGACCCTGCACGGCCCCGAAAGTGCTTGACACTTGAGAGACCTCTATCATTAAAAATGGATTTGCACTAATTTGGTGTGCATGTATTGTAAACGGGCATCGAGCTGTACACATTTGAAGCGCGCTCACGATACGCCCTGGTGTGAACGGGGCCTTGGGGCTCAGGCACATGGCCGCCTTTGGCATTGCAATGTAAATTCCGGTGTATTTCTGCCACCAGGAGGCCACAGGTGCTGTGGCTGTACGTAGAAACACGTGAATGTATACGGCACACAACCCCAAATGCAGACAGTCCTAAAACGGTAAATAAAACATGGAATTTCCTGGACTATAAATTTCAATGGCACAGTGTTTTCATTTTAAATCCAGTTTTCTGTTTTTTGGGGGTCATTTCGCCACTTCCTTCATAGAGGAGGATGTATGATATTGCATGTAAACACACTTTATGTAGTTTTTGGTAGAGTAGGGGAGCTTTGCAGTGTGTTTTTTATATGTGGAGTTTTAAACTACGGGTAAATGGTGGGGGTTTTTTTTGGTTTGTTTTGTTTTTTACTTTTTTGAACCATGCTGATAAAATGTTCGATTATGCAAGTAGATTGTTATTTGTGTTCGGAATCCATTTGCCATAAGGGCGAGTAACCCAATACTGACCTGAGGTGTGCCTTGATCCGGATGGACAGTATGCCAATGAGGGGGCAAAAAGCAACCATTTAGGAATATATTTATTTAACAGTATTAATTAGCCAACTTGGAAAATGCATCTGCCATCTCCACATGGGGATCTGGTATGTACCTAGTGAAGCAGGACGAGTTCCACCTGCCCAAGCTCTTGATGACGTGTGCGGGGACACCATGGCGAGAGGCAGCCGACGCTGCCCCTATGCGGAAGGAATGTCCCGAATACCTTTTGGGATCGAGCCCCAGCTGCCCCACGAGGGACCTAACATGACTCATGAACTCACTACCTGACAAAGGAGTATATGGAAAAGGCAGCAAAGGGCTATCCATCGTGAAGGGAGACAACAGGGCCAGGAGACTATCTAGAACGGCTACGGGGCACCAGGCTTTTTTTTACGCAAACCCCGGAAGTAACGATCGTCCGTAGCGAAGGCAGGATGCTGACGAAGGCCGTGCCCAGGTGAGTCTACCTGCCCCTTTTATGTGTGAGAGGAGGGAAGGACTCCTCCCACAAATACAGGCTAATCAATTAGCCTTCAAACATATCTTATATCCTAAAAACCCTGAGAAAGCCATGTAGTGTGTGGGTGCGTTTTTATTGTTTGTTTGTTTTTTTCTTTAACAACTACACAAGTTTACATTTATTTTACTACACTCCTAAAAAAAAAAAAAAAAAAAAAAATTTTTCCAGACAAAACAAGTGTTAACAATTTGTTTTTCCACTTATACAATTTTA